AAGGAAGCCATTTTATTTGTGATTATAGGTACTACAGCCAAGCAATATATATTAAAAGTTGATAGCGCGCTAAAACTATCGCCGACGTACCCCACAGTAAAAATAGGGGTTTTCATGTATCAGTCTTCAACTATCACCGATCATTGTAGAACTCTAGTACGGTCGTGACGCTCCGAAAAAATAGAAACCGCTCCCGATTTTCTCGATTTTTCGCCGACCATCCTGCATCCCAAATAACCGGGGATGTCTTCCTGCCATCGGAAAGCAGTTAAGTCCCCGACCATCTGAGGTTTTCCCGACATATGAAAACCAGCCTTTATCACCGGCGCCCTCCAACGTTTTTCCTTGTTCTGACTGGCCATTTTAATCAAACCGGATTTGGTCAGTTTCACGTCATTTAGTTCAAAAGCGTTCAATTTTGTGGTTTATTGAACCTTTCCTAAGGTTCTGAAACCTGTCATCTGAATGTTAAAAAAACTGTTTGAGCTCTATCTGCGCACCGGAAAAACTTCCCGCATACAACATTAAATCAAGAGAGTAGATTCGGTTGCAAATACTGTGTCCAAAGCGAGTTAGTACTCTAGCTTCTTCATAGGCCAAAACTGAAGCTAACCGACGCGCAGTTAGATGAAATCTTCGATTGGGTTTTTCAAAAAACAGACTTTCGAGCACAATTCAGAAACCTCGGTCAGCAAAAGACGGATTACAGAGGGAAAGACCAATTAATTTTAACCATTGAGCTCCCAGAAGATATGTTGTCGCAAAAAGGTTCTGAGAATGGACTTAGTAGTCCGCTAGAGGGTGTTATCTTGTCATAACACCGAATTTTCTCGATCGTCTGATTTGCAAAGAAATGTATGGCAGCCAATCGGAAGAATAATCAATTGGATCTTCGGAGTGAAGGGCTTAATTTTCATTGAGGCTTTAGTTTCTTCACGCGTAGCACTAGAGACTTCGCAATACCGTCACCTAATAGCAAAATTTGCGCGCGTCACGAGATCCCATAGCAACAGTAACTATGCCGCCATCTTGCATGCCAGGTCGCCAACACGTACAGTACCTAGGAAGTTGTAAGCGCGTTTGAGATTTTTGGTAATTTGGCGGTAGAATAAGAAAAAAGTTGTTTGTATTTGATTCACTACGACCTTCGGATTCCGCGCTCTGATGCTCTGCTAAAGGTCATCTGAGGTTCAAATCCTAATGGGGAATTCAACTTTTTTTCTTTGTCCTATTTTCGTGCTAGGACGAATAACTCGTTCTTTATGTTTTAAAATCTCTCTTTTGCGATGCGATGCTGTTCAGTAGTTTTGTTGAATAAATTTTTTTGTGGCCTACAAATCTTTTCCTTTTTTTATCATAGAGGTTGTTGAATTCTCCACAGCTCAGTGAGTTCGTTTCCCCACTGAAAAGTGAGACTTATACTTTAAGCTCATAAATCTCGCATTTACATCACGTATTCCATCGGGGGCCGCTAATGGAAAAAAATATCGAAACCTCCTGCGTAAGAATTGCTACGGGACGCTTATCTCGAATAAAAGTTCCATAGTAACTGACTTCGATCCCTGTAACGGACTTTGTACGGAACCAACGAAAAAGGAAGGAAATTATAAAATTATTCCAATGCACAAACACAGATCCTTCCACATACACTTTGCTCACTACAGCGCAACAGGGGAGAGCATTATTAAATTTGCAGAATAAAATATTGGTTAATTGATGACTCAATAACACAGCCATGGATGGATAAGCTGGCTGTAAATAACGCATCGTTTTATGAAATGAAATTGGAAAAAACTGTGGTCGTAGTGAATATATGATAAAAAATATTGAAGAACCACAAATCGACTGAATAATTGAAACCCGTAGCTTGTCTAGTCTGTGTATTCAAACACTAAAACCCTTGAGACTGAATTTAAAAGGTGTTTACAAAAAAATATATTTGCACGACAATGGAGAAAACTTGTGAGGGGAGTTTCCTTAGATAATGCATTGATCTAAGCCCTTAGGAGAATACTCAAAAACAATTTAAAAAATATCCGTCAATCAGCAGGAATTTGGTCTCCTGCAAGGAGATCCGCGGGGTTGAATCAAAGACGATCATCACGCGTAAAGGTAAATGTCTAACGATAGAAATTGAACTTCCTGCCGTCTGCCCTCGGGGGGCAAGTCATTGTTTACCGCCTGAGGCGGTTGATTTGTTACAAAAAAATTTCCCTCACTGGCAGTCAGTTTTCTAGTTTTATAGTCCTCCCTATACTCGCGACTACTAAGCCCCCCCCTCCGACTCCGACGCCCTCCCCCCACAGGCAGTAAGGGCCATTTTTTTTACATAATATAAGGTCTAATCCAAACCGCGGCTCTACGCAAGCAGTGGGCTTCAGGGATCCTCTTTGAGGGTTAATTAAATTAAATAAATGTCCTTCCACTGGTAGCTTTCGGTCTTCTTGACACTGTTCACAAAAAAAAAAAATTTTTCAGATAAAAAGCTTCGGCTAAATTGAAGATTAGAACGCAGTTTTAAACAACGGCTAAACTTGGTTTAAATAATCAGTCCGTTAAATATTTTTGGTATTTCTCTATATGCAGAGTTCATTCAAGGATTTTAGGCAAGTTGAGAGAAACTGTTAAATCTTGCCTTTGCACTGAGCAAACAACTAAACGCGACTTTTTGTCCACATTACCTCTAATTCTCCAGAGAGTGTCTGCCGTTATCACCTAAATTCTGAGAATTTGGATGTCAATCGAACAAAAGCCTTTAGTTGATATTTTCTCCTTAGTAATTAACAATCTCTTGGTACCGTAGGGGGGGGGGGGGAACTCACTGACTGGAAAACTCCTGAGTCAAAGGATTCATTTGCCGGGTTTCAAGAAAAAAAAGAAAACAACAACAACAACAACAACAACAACAAAAATGCTTACACCAAAGTATTTCTTAGCAATGGAGGGGAAGGTGAAGTTAACAAAGTGTACTATCGAAAAATTGGCCCATTATTCCTTGGGTCCTGTTCTTCAACGTGATAGAATTGAAATAAACGAGTTTATTGTCATCGTTCATTCTATCCAATTTCCATGTTTTTCTTTTCTTTGACTCATTTTGACTAGACTGCCCTTGAACACCGAAGAACTAAAACTCGAGGATTTTGCAAACATCACTGATGTTTACTCTAGGCCCAGATCCCGGCCGTGGCCGTGGGTATTCCTCCCTATGGGGTACTGATTTCTTGCAAGCGACAATCGGCAACATCGTCCTCCCATCCATTTTTCCTGGCTCATAAAATGGGTCAAATGGGCACTGAGGTAAATCAAGACTGAATGTGCGACCAGTCTTGGCTAAGGTCTTAATCGTGTATCATGAAGCAACGCGTATTGGAGGTGAAAAGCCTGGGTCCCAGACTAAAATTTAAACCAGAGTGGTACTCCTTCGTAAAAAATAACTTTCCCGTAAGAGAGCGCAAATGTCTGAAACGTAATATTATCATCTTACCAATCATCACCCCGCGCAGATGTTAGGGCAGGAGTCGTCTGTCAATGATCGAAATGATCCCTGGCCAAGTCACTGTTTCGTGTTCAGGAGCAAAGACACCTTACACTTAGAGTACCAGATCAACTTTGCAGCAGTCATTCCTGGATAATAAATATTGTGATAGAGAAAAGTGACGAACGAGATACCGGAAAACTAGCCACTGATGACTCCGACGTATCTTCGCTGATTGAACTGAAATGCCTTGCGGATGAAGTTGGATCTGCTTCTTCTTCTTCTTTAGTCTGACCACACCCGAAAATAGCTAAGGCTTTTATCAAAATCGAAACCATATTGTCCCCTATTTTTCGATAAAGAGTGGTTAAAGTTCCTTTCCACCTGAAAAGATCCAGTTTGTATTATACCCACTTGCCGGCGGCAAACGGAAAATTGCGTGACTTTATTTATCAATACAGTGCGTTCAAGAAAAACATAAACCCACAGACATAACTGAAAGCAAGTGGTTTAATGTGGAATATTACAAATATGACATAAAATTTACACCACAAAATACAAAAATTGCATACTTGCCACACTTGAATTCTAAGTGAAATGATCAATTTGGAAACGATTTCCCTGTGATCGAACTGTCACGGGCAAAGTGATAAAATCATTTTGACGATTGGAACCTATCAAGTTCCCAATGGAAAAAACTGACTTAATGCGCATAGCTACTTCTCAACGTTATCAAAATTCGAAATTCTGCGAAGTCCGTCGTGAGTAGATCATTCGATTCTCATGTCCTTTATTTCTTGAGAGTCGTCGATTCATTAAATCAACACAGCCAACACAAACTTGTAACAAACAGAGTCGTCACAATTTTTTGTTCTCTAAAAACATAGAACAAGTTGGAACTTCTTGTAGCAAAAGTTCAGAATACAGTTATAATTTATACATTTGAATATCAAGAAGCTTTTGTAAAACGAGCTGGCGTTAGAATTTACATCCTTGAACTGATTTCATGTTTTCTTACTTCGCTATCCATCCTCGCTTAAAAAAGAAAACCAAGTTCACTTCATTTTCAAGTGTTTCTTTTACGGGAGTGACTAAATCTGTACATATATCTTATTAACCAAGCGCAAGGGCCGTACTGGGAGAATATCGGCCCGAGGTCTTGATTCACAATAACGTTGTTAACATGTTTTCGAAAGAATCCCATTTGACATATGGAAATATAATCCTCTACCACCCCACCCACACCAAGCAAGAATTAGCATTATTCTGAAAAATCAAGAGCTATAGCTAGGGGTATAGCAAACATTTCTACCAACAATACAGTACAGTACGGACCGAGCGCAGCGAGGTCCGTACAAAAAAGACCGAGGGCCGATATTCTTCCAGTACGGTCCCGAGCAAGCTTGGTTAATAAGAGATTTATTATACGACTGAAGTTCAAAGGGACACAAGTGCGGTATCATTCGGGACCATTCGGGACAGTGCCCGGTCCAATACTGAGAGAATATTGACCGGCAATAGAGCATTTTGATTGGTTGATTTTAGTTATTGGCCCTCTGACTGCCCGAGTCGTGTAATAAATTAATTATTTTTTATCTTCACACACAAAGCACTCTATTTAGAACCATCACTTAATCTTGTCCAGGAATTTGGTATAACTGATTTTTTCTCCACGATTTTCGTTGAACTCGGTTAAAATGTAATAAATATCTTCCTCGTCCAAAACCACGTTGCAGAGCTCTAAAACATGTCGGAATTCTTGAAGAGTGAGGAAATCCTTGTTATCTTTGTCGAGTTTCTTGAAAGCTCGCATGAGGTTTATCCATTTTCCTGACAACTGGAATACAAAAAAGAATGCAAAAGTTAAGGTACTATCTCTTGGAAATATGCGATTTGTTTGCACAGACACAAGGTTTTATCGAGTAAAAACGATTAACACTGCGCTTGTTTTGCAAGAATTTTTGCGAGCTATAATTGGTGCATGGATGCCCTTAATAAGACCTGTTCTGAAATTTTTGTCTGATGTTACCTTTTGATGTTGATCTTGTAAGATGTTGAATTTCAAATCTTTAAGTTAACAGGGGATCCTTTTAAATCATTTTGGAGGGCCAGCGTCCTCTACATACGAAATAATTTCCTATAACCAACTATGACATCCATTATAGTGAAAATCATATTTAAGAGGACTTTCTAGTTTCACTCCTTCACAATAATGTCTTATTTTCCAATAAGAGTTGATGTACATCATTCGTCGTCACACGAGTGTATCACTATTCACCTCTCTGATGAGCTCTCATTTTTTCTTCTTTTTTTTTTTTTTCAGAAAATGCTGCAATTTTTAAACCGCGCACTTTCATAGGATGCGAATATATGCGCAGTGAAGATACACAATTCAAAACTTAGGAATGTCCTAAATTTTGAGGACGATCCTACACTGACAGAAGGCAAGAGAAAATAAACGTACAGAGCTCTGTCCCATCATTTTCTCCTACAGAAGGCCATAACGGCTTAAAAAAACTTAAATGTCAATAACAGATTTAGTTATTACCTTACCTTATCCCTAAGCTTTGCTGTTACTGCCGACAGACCTTTGTTTGGTTTTTGAACGATATCATCCATTGGCTGATAAAGGAAAAAAAGGTAGGAAAGGATGTTAGTTACCACATCTGTCGTCAATGCAACGCCAGTTAAATGACCCTTGCTACTATAATTGACAACTGCTGACTCTGCAAGGAAATCTTTTCTACCATTCCTTTGAATTTTCGGGCAAGAAACGTTATTCTAAAAGTCCTTCTCTCCTCGCAGATATAAATATACCTACGCGAAACGCCTGGAAAATGCAACTACTACAGCTGTAAGTACAGAGCCTGTTGTTCATGGAACAATAAATTCTTGAAATACCCATGACATAAAACTTCTTACTTTCCTGTTCGAAGGTGCTCATAACAATAGAACCTTTGCCTATAACACCCGATTTGAACGACATGTGAAATTTTTTTGCCACATTTTCCAGGTCTACAAAGAAATTTTCCAAGAACATAAGCGGAAGAAAAAAATCAATCATTTCGGAGAATCTTATTACCAGCTCAGCCTGCGGATGCTTCATGACAGCTTGCATATTGTGTCCATGGCGATGAGCTCGTCGATGTTTAGAGTATGGTTCTAAAAACTTGATGTAATTTATCCTGTTAAAAAGGATGGAAGACTAAGGTATATGGTTTTCCTTCACGATTCAAGATAAACTCAGGTTACAGGTGGATGACCGGAGTCGAAGATGATCGAAAGAATTAGACTATGCCTTCACACATTCAAATCAACAGGTCGATGTGAAAAAACGGCCCTCCCTTCGAAATCTGTAGATTAGATCACTGCCTGCTTTCTCCATACAGTAAGAGAACAAGAATTTGGGACTCGCTCGTTCTTTGTTACTGTAATCAGCACCTAAGGAGTTAGGCCCTTTCCAATGGCTCACCCTAAACTTGGTTGGCTGAATTATCATGTAAAATTTCACCCATGCGAGAAATTTAAAAGATATTTAGAAACAACAAATTTTCTGTCATTACCTTCCTTCTTTCTTAAGATCAAACTTGTCGCACAACACTTGACACTCGTAGTCTGTCAGTTCAACGCACATATCTTGCAAAATAGTCTGCAACACAGGGAATTAAAGTCCTCAGCAAAAGGGCATTTAACGAATTATATGAGAGAAGTATGAATGGCTCTTTCAAGCCTTTCGACAGCCGTTACATTTGTAGGCGTTCCAAAATGTCACGCTATATCTCGTGCAAAATGTGCGTGCGTGACATCGCTGATTCTACGAAAGAAGGGCTGCAAAAGGGACAATATATATATCTTATTAACCAAGGGCAAGGGCCGTACTGGGAGAATATTGGCCCGAGGTCTTGACAGTACGGACCGAGCGCAGCGAGGTCCGTACAAAAAAGACCGAGGGCCGATGTTCTTCCAGTACGGTCCCGAGCAAGCTTGGTTAATAAGAGATTTATTATACGACTGAAGTTCAAAGGGACACAAGTGCGGTATCATTCGGGACCATTCGGGACAGTGCCCGGTCCAATACTGAGAGAATACTGACCGGCAATAGAGCATTTTGATTGGTTGATTTTAGTTATTGGCCCTCTGACTGCCCGAGTCGTGTAATAAATATATATATGGAGTTATGAAAAGCAAAAATCATAACTAAAGATATGAAAATTGAGCTTCAAACTGTTATAACTGATTATCTAGTGTCGCGCAACATAGCACATTTAAATCCTAGGTTGAAATAGGAATCGCTTTGATTGTGGCAAAAGCATTAGAACAAGACAATATCTATCTGACTACGCCAAATTAAGCCAGAAACGCCTGGCGAGCCATACGCGAGGGCGCTGGAAACCACCAAAGCCCAGCTTACCGTGAAATCTTTCCTCGAAACGTTCCCAGTTCCCTGTCGGTCAATAGAGGTGAACTCTCTCCAGAGCGTCTCCCAGTAGAAGTCGATGTTTGATTTGAGCAAATGATGCAACAGATGCTTGTCGCTGTTTAGCTTGTTGGAGCGCATCATGAAGTCATTGTCACCTCTCTTGGGCGGGGAAACTTTAGCGTTTGGGAACGCTGAAAAAATAATGAAAATAGACTGTCTAAAGACTATAAACTTGACGAGGCATCTTAAAACAGCGTCTAAGGGTCGCGCAATAAGGTTTAAAAGGTTCAAAACGCGTTGTTTAGCAAGAAAAATAACAGCCGCTGGGAATTCGATAGGGCATGGCGTCGAAACGTCAGCCTTCGTCCATTAATAGTTTGCGAAAAAATAATTGTCAAATGATCTCAACAAACATTACGGACCAGCATGCGGAAGGAAAAGATTCTTTCACTAAAAACGTCTAAAATTGGAACAAAAAGCTCTTAATAGCAAGCTTGGTTGCTAAAAATTTTTGCTAAAAATTTTGCGAAATTACCTGCTGAATCCAGAGAATAACCAAATGTCCGCACAAACTGCCAGTATTCCAAAGAGCCTCTTTGGTCTGTGATTAAGGTATCCCACAGTCGTTTAACTTCATTGCGACTTAGAGGAAGACCAAACCTTACAAATAAAATAAACAACAACATCACCTAACAGATTTATGCTGGACTATAACAGTTTTTTTTTTCTTTGAACAAAGTTAAGACAGCTGAGATGAATCCGTTGGTCTGGCGTTCGATGTCTCGTGGAAGCTCAATTTCTTCTCCTTTTTTATCTGTCCCACCTTTGTGACAAGAAGATCAAGACTCTTTCCATACTCTTCCTAAACCATTAACATAATTCTGGCTCTCCCAACTTCGACAAAAAAAAAATACTAAGTCGCGCCCTAACCCTTGAAAGTTTAAGTGACGTATAACTGCTCACTTTTTTAAAAGTTTAATCATCATGTTTGGTGACATTTTCTTGCTGTTAAGTTCATCTAGTTCATAAAAGGCCTGAAAAGGAAGAAGAAATAAGTTCATGTTGAGAGCTGCTTTTATAAACTCCATATGATGCACGTTCCTCGCAGTAGATAGCGCTATTTAAGCAATAGCGAAGATCAGACCTGAAAAAAATCAGGCCTGCACGGGATTCGAACCAATAACCTCTGCGATACTAGTGCAGCGCTCTACCAATTGAGCTAACAAGCCAACTGGGAGCAGGCCGTTAAGTTGATTCGTAATAAACCCGTGAAAGTGATAAATCAGATACAATGAAATATATGAAGTTCATATATTTTGAACTGCGGTATTAGATACATATGATGCACGATCCTCGCAGTAGATAGCGCTATTTAAGCAATAGCGAAAATCAGACCTGAAAAAAATCAGGCCTGTACGGGATTCGAACCACTGACCTCTGCGATACTAGTGCAGCGCTCTACCAATTGAGCTAACAAGCCAACTGGGAGCAGGCCGTTAAGTTGATTCGTAATAAACCCGTGAAAGTGATAAATCAGATACAATGAAATATATGAAGTTCATATATTTTGAACTGCGGTATTAGATACATATGATGCACGATCCTCGCAGTAGATAGCGCTATTTAAGCAATAGCGAAAATCAGACCTGAAAAAAATCAGGCCTGTACGGGATTCGAACCACTGACCTCTGCGATACTAGTGCAGCGCTCTACCAATTGAGCTAACAAGCCAACTGGGAGCAGGCCGTTAAGTTGATTCGTAATAAACCCGTGAAAGTGATAAATCAGATACAATGAAATATATGAAGTTCATATATTTTGAACTGCGGTATTAGATACATATGATACACGATCCTCGCAGTAGATAGCGCTATTTAAGCAATAGCGAAAATCAGACCTGAAAAAAATCAGGCCTGTACGGGATTCGAACCACTGACCTCTGCGATACTAGTGCAGCGCTCTACCAATTGAGCTAACAAGCCAACTGGGAGCAGGCCGTTAAGTTGATTCGTAATAAACCCGTGAAAGTGATAAATCAGATACAATGAAATATATGAAGTTCATATATTTTGAACTGCGGTATTAGATACATATGATGCACGATCCTCGCAGTAGATAGCGCTATTTAAGCAATAGCGAAAATCAGACCTGAAAAAAATCAGGCCTGTACGGGATTCGAACCACTGACCTCTGCGATACTAGTGCAGCGCTCTACCAATTGAGCTAACAAGCCAACTGGGAGCAGGCCGTTAAGTTGATTCGTAATAAACCCGTGAAAGTGATAAATCAGATACAATGAAATATATGAAGTTCATATATTTTGAACTGCGGTATTAGATACATATGATACACGATCCTCGCAGTAGATAGCGCTATTTAAGCAATAGCGAAAATCAGACCTGAAAAAAATCAGGCCTGTACGGGATTCGAACCACTGACCTCTGCGATACTAGTGCAGCGCTCTACCAATTGAGCTAACAAGCCAACTGGGAGCAGGCCGTTAAGTTGATTCGTAATAAACCCGTGAAAGTGATAAATCAGATACAATGAAATATATGAAGTTCATATATTTTGAACTGCGGTATTAGATACATATGATGCACGATCCTCGCAGTAGATAGCGCTATTTAAGCAATAGCGAAAATCAGACCTGAAAAAAATCAGGCCTGTACGGGATTCGAACCACTGACCTCTGCGATACTAGTGCAGCGCTCTACCAATTGAGCTAACAAGCCAACTGGGAGCAGGCCGTTAAGTTGATTCGTAATAAACCCGTGAAAGTGATAAATCAGATACAATGAAATATATGAAGTTCATATATTTTGAACTGCGGTATTAGATACATATGATGCACGATCCTCGCAGTAGATAGCGCTATTTAAGCAATAGCGAAAATCAGACCTGAAAAAAATCAGGCCTGTACGGGATTCGAACCACTGACCTCTGCGATACTAGTGCAGCGCTCTACCAATTGAGCTAACAAGCCAACTGGGAGCAGGCCGTTAAGTTGATTCGTAATAAACCCGTGAAAGTGATAAATCAGATACAATGAAATATATGAAGTTCATATATTTTGAACTGCGGTATTAGATACATATGATGCACGATCCTCGCAGTAGATAGCGCTATTTAAGCAATAGCGAAAATCAGACCTGAAAAAAATCAGGCCTGTACGGGATTCGAACCACTGACCTCTGCGATACTAGTGCAGCGCTCTACCAATTGAGCTAACAAGCCAACTGGGAGCAGGCCGTTAAGTTGATTCGTAATAAACCCGTGAAAGTGATAAATCAGATACAATGAAATATATGAAGTTCATATATTTTGAACTGCGGTATTAGATACATATGATGCACGATCCTCGCAGTAGATAGCGCTATTTAAGCAATAGCGTTTTTAATTCTTCGATATATTCCTCGTCAACTATCTCGAAACGAGACGCCATTGTTACAGAAAATCTTCTGCAACAACTTTTCAATAGCATAAGCTGTTGCCAGGCAATCTGAATACCAATCATGAGCTAGTAATTTTGCCCTCTTCTCAAGCAAAATTAAGAAAAAATACCCTCTTCATTAACCAATCAGCATTCAGTAATTTTGCCCTGTATTTTATCAACAGTGTAACAGCCAATCGATGTCATCGTCGACCTAGAATCTACTCTTCTCTCAATTAAAACCTTTCCATAAAACAATCGCGACATTTTCTGGTTTCTCGGGTTACATCCGGTAAAAGGTAAAGTCTGTTTACGAGCCTAGTGGCCCATTAGGCCGGTGCTTAACTCCGGTTTCTGTAGCATGAAGCGACTAGGAGTATTTCTACTCCCCCCTGGATGGGATGCCAGTCCATCGCAGGGTTACCCTCCAGCATTAAATTTGCTGGTACCCATTTACACCTGGGTGGAGAGAGGCACTGTGAGAGTAAAATGTCTTGCCTAAAAACACAACACAATGTCCCGGCCGGGGCTCGAACCCGGACCACTCGATCCGGAGTCGAGCGCACCAACCGTGAGGCCACCGCGCCTCCACTGGGTTACATCAGGACAGTTTCTCAATCATTTCCCGATTCTGCATTTCTTTTGTTATTCATATGCTGACATTGGAAGCAATTGAAAAAAATCAATCAAATAATCAGCTCTTTGTTAGTGAATATATGAAAATTATATGTGTGGACTGCGGTTAAACAAATGAATATGAGAGCGATCTTCGCAGTAATGAACACTACCTACGCAGTGATAAAAAATAAGGCCTTTCGATTGATCGTTGTAAAACCATAATCTTTCAGAAGAAACGAAAACAACAAATCAGAACAAAGGAAGAAACCGCAATGAACCCATTGAAACTCGAAGTACACAAATATACCCACCCACCCTTTATACTAAAGGGAAATAATGATTTTAAGGACCTTTCATTATTCATCTAATGGGGGTGGAGGGGGATCCAATGGTTTTCGCGTGGGTTTCAATCGTCGCTAACAGTCTATAATGGGGAACTATGGACAACTGAGTGTTTCTTTCATCCCATTCACCCCTCTCCCCTGACCTCTTCCCTCCTTTAGGGGTTGGCTACGTAAGCAACGGTCTTCTGATAGATTTAATTATTCATATTGCTTTGGTAGAAATTAGGAAAAAAAAGTATGAGATACTTTTAAAGCTAAAGTTTCATTTAAACAAGCTCAGCTGTTGTTAAGTTGTAAATTAAAAGTAATTTGCCATTCTGCATTATTTCGAACTTTTATACTTCAAATTTTGTTGTATTTACTATGGACAATAACCAGCATAGGCTTTTGATACTGCTATCTGCACGTAGCCACCATAAGAGGGGGATCATAGCAATTGGGGGGGAGGGGGAGGAAGGTAATTTAAATACCAAAAGAGCCTAATGGGGAGATCAGGTCAATTTCAGTGTAACACAACAAAGTCCTCCAAAAGTAAAGTGTAACGAAGCAAAATCGATCGAAAACCAACGCAAAGCTGGACAACGATCGACGTTCACTTGAAAATTGCTTATACAATACGAAACCACCGATCCACATAACAAGACAACTGAAGAAGTCTGCGTTCTATTGTGCAAATTATCTTCAATCTTACCTCCTCAAAGGCCTGGTAATTATGTTGAAGCAAACTCTTGATCAGGGCCTTCAATTCATCGACGCTGCGTCCTTCCTGGCTATTGTATGAATCCATGGTTTTCATTGGTCGAAATTGTTTCTTAGGTGACATGGGTGGGCTGTCTATTTCCGGTAGAGTAGGAAGAGCTTCTCTCCGGTCCATGATGCTGGAGCGATCAAACAGGCTTTTGCTTTCACTGACAAAACAAAGTCATAGGCAGCTACTTATAATTATTTTTATTAATGAACAATAATAATAATAATAATAATAAATATTATAAATAACTTGACACCTGAAAGAGCCACAAATTCTATCCTTACATGAAGGTTTCATTTATCGCCAGGGGGGTGGGGTAGTTTTTAGAGGCATATCATGGTTTTCAGAGGGGAGGGAGTGGGATCAGTCGTCGCCCACAGAGTAGGCAGCTCTTTGTAAGTTATGTATTGTAAATAATGTGTTGTAATAGAGTTTAATTATTGTAAATGATGTATGTCTTAACTAAAGATTTATAGACTTTCTCGTTTTTTTGCGATTCTTCACAACTCTTGAATGAAAATCGCATTCATTAACCGTGAAACAATCGATACTTAGTGGAGTATTAGCTACATACACCTAAATATTATACCATTTAAAATCTCGATCACAGAGTGCGTTTATTTGTTTTACTTAAAAAGAAAAACATCCGAAACAAATATCTGGTGAAAAGTGATAGAATGAAAAATGCCTACCATATAAGCTCGACCTTAACATTTTTAACGTTCACTGCATAGATAGTATTGGAAGAGCGCAGCGGAATAACCCAATTTTGAAACACCAGATTATCGACACTTACAAAGTATCAAATTTGGACATGAACTCCACATATTTCACCATGCCTTCGCTGTCGATGGGAACTTTCTTCAGAAAAGATTCAAACTCCTGTTCTGACATGTTCAACTCGAATCTTCCTTCGATAGCCGCACGGAATTGTTGTTGAGTCAGTAGACCAGAATCTTTACGGTCGATATTGCTGTAAAACAACAACAACAACAACAATAACAACAAAATAACTGAGTGAAAAAAGAAAATGATTCAAAAAAAAAGTTTCAGCAAGCATAACTACTACTGGGTTTTTGAGTGCCTTTTAAAATTTTTGTATTGTTGTTTAGAGTATATATGCATTTTTCAATTTGGTTCTCAACGCTACGTTGGCGACTGTTCTAAATCCGATAGTTAACAACTATTCACCGAAGTGGAGGTGGCTAGTGGTGGATATTTACCGAGCTGCGAAGTGGTGTAGTAAGTATCCACTGCTAACCACCGACATTGTGGTGAATGGTTGTTTTGGTAAGTACTAAAACAGTGAGATAATTTAGCACAAAAATGTGATTTTAACTCATTTGTTCTTGCAACGATCACAATATCTTCGGGCGCAATTCTAGTCCCACGCGCGTTGGTTGGAGGTAAATAGCAAAAGATATTCGGATCTTAAGTAGCCAATCAGATCGCGCCCTCAACACTTTCCACTGTTTCAGCATATACTAATAAAGTTTATTACATCATCACCATCAAACCAATTATATCGCAGCTTTCAAGTCTCTCCCAGGCAAGATCTAGACGAAATATATTGCGTCGAGTAATACTCACTGGAATGTACCCAGCAGGGCTAAGAACTCCTTCTGAAACATGTCCATTATTCTGGCTTCTACGGCTGAGGTTGTTGAGTAGTTACTTCCACCTTCACTGTGATGGTACCTAAAGACAAACGTTACTTCTTAGTACTCTTACAAACATTTTCAATTGAGTATCGAAAAAATCTCAAGCAAAGGGTCATCTTGGCTCCTTGTCAGCGGTATGGTCGCCAAGAAGGTAGGTACTTGGTGAAATCCTTAATGTATGTATCAATACATAAGAACATGTGGGAATACATGGTTATTTGCATACAGACACATACATTAAGGATTTCACCAAGTACCTACCGCCGAGAAGGAGCCAAAATGACCCTGGGCTCGAGATTGGTTTCGCTTTACCTCGCTCTGTGATTGGTCTAGAAAAAATCACGCCATCGTCTCAATCAATCGAATGCAAAATTAAAACCTATCCCAACATGGTATCTCGCGTTTACCCGCGCTTAATGTAAGTTGTTCTAATATCAGAGAGAGATTTAGCATTGCGTTTACGTGAAACGGCAAAACATCAGCTTGCCCTTCTACCTTTCACGTAGAAGGGCAAGCTGATGTACCTTTCACGTACAGGGAATAGATTTGGTGCCCTTTTTCCGGCAATTACCTACTACTCTGTGAGTGAAAAAGTCAAGAAAATCTTAAGTACAAGGCAAACTCGAAACAGGTTACTTTCATGTAGAGACGGTAAATTACAACCGGCAACTGTGAAAAATAGCGGGAAAACAAGATCACTCAGAAAGTGACATGCACACAAAACACGCGCCCGTTAATCCGCACCTGAAGCAAATTTTTCAAGTTACTCAATACTTCTGTGCATGTTAAACCTATCGAGGCAGTTTTACCTGTGAAGTGGATTGGCCAAAATCTTGTGTGGCATTCCTTGCTCGCTGCGATCTTGAAAACGACGCAAAAATTCTTTGTACGAAATCTTGCCGTTGGAAGCTTCGATGCCGCATCTGTTCATAAAAATACAGAGTCGATGAGACATACATCAAATAGAGACGTACCCGCGTTTTATGCGACAAATGCAGCAATCTGATTGGCTAAGCTACTCGCCACCCATTGAACAAATAAATTTCATGCTGCCGTTCGTATGTTTAGTAACAGGTCATGTCAAAAGGTGGCAAGTAAGAAAAAAAAGTGGCTCACGAAGCAAAGCCGAGAGTGTAAGTAGCCTAACATTATGCAGTTGTCCAAAAAACTTAACGAAGTTAAGGCATGGGCCTGGTTTTTCGTTAAGTTTCGAACGTACTTCTGGATTTACACCAAAAAAAAAAAACTGGATCACTTGCTCCCTCTTTGTTTTTTTCTGCCATAGAAATCTCGAGCTCACAATCTCACTGTACAACTTTTCCCTTAAATCAAAAGGTTCTACAATAGCATCGTTATTAAGACTAAAACTCAAAAAAATTAAATCAAAATTGCAAACCTTGCATTGAAATCTTCGAGTTGTTTATCGGTGTCGAGGCGCAAGCCAAAATCTTTCATGACCAGTCTGAAATCATCAAGACTAACTTTTCCTATCCTGTCCAGATCTAATTCCATAAAAGCGTGCTTCATGTCCGAGAAACCTTCGCGGAATTTCCTCTTCAACCATCTCTCTACATCCAAAGAGTGCTTCCTTTCCGCTTCAAGCTTCTTCGGTGAGCTCGATACTTCTCTTGATCCCGTGTCCTTCATGGCAATACCAAGCCTACTCATTAATCGCTCTGCGCGGATCGTTCCGTAGTTCTCTGTGTCGTATTTTTGCCAGAGTTTTTCAAACTCGTCGTCCTCCATGTAGAAGCCCATCTTGTTGAGGACGTTCCGCAGTTCAGGCTTGAGGATTCGTCCCGAGCCTCCGGGGTTCATTTGCGGGATAAGTTCTGCTACATCCAAAAACCTGAAGGAAAAAAAAAGGCCAAAATGTGGTTAATGCATGGCAAATTTAATGGCAAATTTAATGGCAAATTTAATGGCAAATTCAATGGCAAATTTAATGGCAAATTTAATGTATCTGCAAACTTAGGAACGCGGACAATCAAACGATAACCAAAGGAGAGCTGCAAGTTTTTTCAAAATATTTTGTCGACGAACGCAAAACGCGCGAGACATGAAAGTTACGGTGCGAATCTTCCAATGTACCTTCCAATGAATTTTATCAGCAATTTAACTCCCAAATAAAACCAACTTTGAACCTGTTCCTGGCAAGACTAAGTCATCAAAATTCGTCGACCCATGGACCCATGTTGCTGCATAGTTCGTTGCAAAAAAAAAAAAATTCAAGGATGCAATTTCTTTTTTAATACATGAACCATCTTATAAGCGACAATCACATCAACTGACACTTTGTGAGAAGTAGGGTAAGGGTCAACGGATTTGGCACTGGGGGTAGTGCAAAAAAAGTGTAGCTCCAAATCTGCCTGGAATCTCTGCAGGAGGCAGGCACGAAGAGTTTCTGATAATTAACTATAACAGAGAGAAAGGAAAACAAAGAAGGTAATCTAGAATAATGACTAACCTTTGTTTTACTTTCTCCTTGAGATGTGCATTTACTTGAGCGGCTGACATGTACTTTAAATCGGGTTTCTCCAGCTGCAGCCAAGCTGGGCCCTCGTCAGCTTTCTAAAGACAAAAAAATGAAAAACGAGAGAAGTAACTGACAGAGTTGATTTCGACTGAAGATGACAGAAGAATCGAAAGTAACCAAAGCTCTCGTGTATGACTCTTGGAAGGAAGAATGAAATAATAAAAGGTCCATAGCTGCCATCCTCACCTTTGGTGGCCTAAACGCAGCATAAAACTCATCGTAAGAAATCATCATTTTGTGATCGAGTCGTAACCTGTGAAAATGAAGATCGACATAAACATCGTATCTTTATAGTCCTGCAACTGATACTACATCACAATAAAGAAAGCGCAAGTAGGTTTCGTTTAAATATCGTCCAATATTGAGATGTAGTGGAATGGAAGATACATAGCACTGAACTAAAAGGGCCGGAGGATGTCAGGCCATGAAGGTTAAATTTGATGCTCTTTGCCGTGGGAAAGAAATGTCATTGTAGCCTTAAAAAGTAAATACCAGAATTCCTTGAAAAAACGTCCAGGCAGTCATCATTAAAAATTTGGAAGGAGGGCGTTTCATCTGGGGGGGGGGGGGGGGAGGAGGTGCTTATTAGGTTAGTGCATTAATAGGACAAAAATCAAAAGAACAAATAACACACATAAAGGAATTCTAAAAGTACACGGAGATAGAAATGACTGGAACAGTAAAGAAGCTTTTCTTCTGTACTGATTTCGCTGAAGTTAGAGCTTAAGAAATTTAAATTAAGTGGAAATAGGATTAGGTTTTCTTTGTAACCCTACTATTTAAGAAGATTAGGGAAGAGGGGTGTGCTTGTTTAAAATTATGGTCTTGATTGAGGGTGGGGGCATAGGCAGGGGCACCTATTAGTCACTTAAAAAGGCAATAGTCTCTTCAGGGACTCTTCTTGAAATGTCATGTTTATTAATATACAGTGTAACAGAGCAGACCACTAACAGCATTACTAGCCAAACTCTGTTGCTAATTAACTATTTCTAATCACATAATTCCTACCACTCGATTGTAATTTGTAATTGTAATTTGTAATTGTTTTTTTTTTTTTTGTTTTTTTTGTTTTTTTTGATTGTGTAGGAGTCTCGTTAATAGAACGTTAGCTCTGTGCGATCTCTCCTGCCAAATCGTTTTTGGCGAAGCTTATAAATAAATAAATAAATAAACTCATTAGCACCAAAAAAACTAGCACGACAAAAACTGTCCCTATTATCAACCCTTCTCTCCTGATTAAATGTTTGCAGGTGTGTTTCTTAAGCAGCAAACTTATTTGGCACTAACAGAAATAAGTTAGAACTTCACTATAGATCTATATTTTGTAAAAAAGAATTTTACTTACCGCACCATTAACTTGTTAAAATGGCTCAAAGTTATTGGTCTTGACAAGTAATTGATCAAAATTTCTCTCAATTTTTCTCTGCAAGTGATAGAAATGAAACAATGCTGAACCTATGATTTATACATTTTTCAGTTTTTTGAAAACCTCTGTTGGTAAATATTTAGAAAGGGTTCTAATCAGAAGGTGGGACTAGGGTACCAGCACCAGGATACACAAGTGTCAGTAAATGCCTATACCTTCACATGGGACATTAGGGAATTCACTTTTAGCACTGGGATTTTATCTAATGCAGAGTAGCATCCATCTACTGCTGCCATCTGTTTAGCTTGCAAGCAAGCTCCCATGTTTGGGTTTACCATATGCCTCTCCATGGATTT